GACGATTATAACTCACAAGTTTTAACGCATAATTTCTGATTGGGTATGGCCACGTATGCTGTGTAGACTGTTGAAACTGGTAACCCATCCACAGCCTGCTGTATACAAACATAAAAATACAAATAAAAAAGAATATATAAAGAAAGACTAAAGAATATAATAGGTAATAGATAGGTATCTACCTAGTCACCTATAGGTACGCGATCTTAAACATTGCAAGCTAGTTTTGTTATTGCTCCAGCTGTTTTCCATAAACATACCACTTAGATATCACACCACTAGTAGCTTCTGATATTACAACCTTTAGAATAATAAGATGACGTAAAATGCACCAACAATACAATATTTATTTAATACAACAATCTGCAATTCTGCATTGTTTGCAATCCATCATTAGCACCATACCCACCAATTCCTGATTGCACTGCAGCACTAAGGCACCGAGCGAGTATTATGGGAGCGAATATTATGTACTTATGTAAGTATTAATTACAGTTAAGGTTCTGACTGCCAATAGAAAACTGTTGAAGGCAAATCGTCGGTGTCGTGGCTAACTGCCGTATACTCTAAAGACTTAAATAGATACTTAAACTATTCCTTGGTACCGATTTTGTTCCAATAACAATTGCTTAGGACTGGGGTAACTAATGTCTCTGAGTACGGCGTACTCTGAGAAAAGTCAATAGAAAATAAACAGGTAAGTATCATAAAGTCGATAGAATATAATATATACCTATTTAATCTTAGAATCCAACTGTTAAATTGAATATCACTGGTGACAATGGGGCCTACCGCGTTTTTGCTCACCAGATGTCGCTAGTGTGAACCTCTCGTTTTTCGTCCAATAGGGAATTGGCTAGTGTCACGCCAGCCCATAGCACGTTCAATATTTGACAACTGCTATGATTGAACAAAAAATCTCTTTCTACATTTGCGCCATCTGGTGTCCAAAAATACAGTAGCATTACATTATATAGTTATCGATGTTCCGAATTAAATCTGAAAATTGCAAAAATCGAAACCCAAATAATGCTTTGTTCAATCTGGAAATACAAACAGAAACCGTCTAGGCTTTTCTATAACTATCAATGCGAATTTTCAAAGTGATCTCGATCGCGGTCCTCCATGTCATTGGTTGAGACTATTCTCACAACCAATGACAGTGAGTGATGAGTTCACTTCGATCCTTTAAATGGAAAGTAGAATAGCCTAGGTAGTCACAGATTAGACCACTATTGAAGATCGTCAATTATACATCTGTTTAACATAGGTACCTAAATATGAGATAGTTGCGATAAATGTGACTTGAATACTCTAAACACTTTACTATATAACACACCTGTGTGTGTGTGTGTGTGTGTGTGTGTGTGTGTTACATTTCATAATAAACTGATAAGTATTTACTTTGACTTGTGTTACTGTGAAACGAACTACTACTGTCCTACTAGGTACTTTATGTATCTACCTTATATGCCTACTTCATTCAAGTATAATGCCAATACACTAACTTTATAATCTCCTAATAAGCACGCCAATAACGCCTAAGTTTAAGCTAACTTTGAAATAAAATCTCTTCAATTGTCTTTCAGTTTTCATTTTTGTCGTGGTGGCTTTCCTAGCCACGGTATCGGAGGCTAAGGGACCAAGCTGGACTGGGGTCGACTGTATATGTACCACGGAGTATGATCCTGTCTGCGGCTCTGACATGGTCAGGTACAGCAACTACTGCGTGTTCAAATGCAGGGTCCAATACCTCAAGGACAAGGGCCTCCCGCCCATCTACAAAGTTCCTTGCTACGATCTACCTCCACTCTTTGGATAAAATGCTTGACAGTTACTGACGTGATGTAAATTGTGAACCGCTAATTGTTATCTATCCTTATTAAAAGCTGAATTGTAATTTTCTGGTTTTATTTGTTTTTTTTTGTACCTAATTTCTTTTGTAATGGGGTGCTTTTAAAGGTACTGCACGATTGGGGTAGTACAATAATCAAGTGGTAAGGGCATAATCCATGGTACGTGTGTAATGTAACGCCTAATATTTTGTAAAAGCTAAAAGCTGACAGAAAGGGGAAATATACCCAACCCTGCCGACCCAGTAATTTATAAGCAAACAATAAAAAAAAATACCGCTGTAAAAATTACGGTTTCATTAAACGAAACTTCATTTCATTTCTATAAAAATGAGGATTATAAAATTCTCTAGATAGGAGGGCATACAAAAATCTGTGAGTGATCATAGCAGTGATGCCCCAGATGTGGTACTTCCCGCCGGCGTACACAGGCACTACCACTCCATCGTACCTGCAGTAACCATGATTGAAAGGGTCGCAGAGTAATCTCAAAGGAACTGTGAACACATCTTCTATTTTTTCGTTTGCTTTCACCTTAGACATGTTAAAGTTTGTTAGTTCACCAATAACGGGAGTGACTGCTATATTTGGTCCTCGGCTTAAAACTTGTCCCATTTTGGTCCAAAATTTGATGTCACGAATGCCGATATCTACGTACGTGTGATATGCAGCTGCTTCGTAAACTGTTTCGTCTCTGAGTACTTTGCCACCGCCAGGGAATGTGACCTTGGTGCCGGAGCAAGGCATGACATCAGATCTCTTGGTGTACAACAGACACACTTCATTATTGACCACACACAAGGGTACTAGGAATGTGTCAGTGTGGTAAGTTGGCCCGCCACGTATGTCTATCGACGGTAGTTTTTTAATGTTACATATACAATTTTTTCGCCAACTACTGGATAGAACTACTTCGGGACAAAACCACATGAGTGTTTTCAAACTTGAGAGTACCAGGCTGGGGTAGACGCCCATGGTAGTTACCTTACGTACTTTGCAGGACTATGTATTCGTTTCATTTTAGTAAAGTATGTTTTTATGAGGAAACTTCTGGTTTATTTAGATATCAATATCATCATGTTTATTGACAAACTCACATGTCAATTGATATTCCGATTATTTTATCTATAGGTAACAAAAAGGCTCTATTTGAAGTAGAATGAATAGATTGATGTTTTTCATTAGTCTATTCCTTGGTTTATTCCATTTTGCATACAAGGACGGTGTACAAAGCTTGCATACTTACATGTTTTCTGAAATATTAAATTGCTATAAAAATATCGGAAGGAGTCGGCCCCTCAAAGGCATTCATAGCAATGTCGACAAGATAATCAACGTCTAATTAATTATAGGGTCTTGTAAGGTGATTAAAAAAAAGACGTAAATATAAGTATTAGTATAATCAGTAGTTATGTAGGTACTTCTTGGCAGTACCTAAAAGCTTTTTTTATGGCATAAGCCGGTAAACGAGCAGACGGATCACCTGATAGTAAGCAATTGGCGCCGCCCATGGAGACCTGAAACACCAGAGGCGTTACAAATGCGTTACCGGCTTTTGGGAATTTGGAATTTGAGGATTGTGGGGGATTCGGGGATTGGGAAGACTCAGGAGGGGGTAATTGAACCTACGGTAACCTCACTCACACGACGAAACAACGCAAGCGTTGTTTCACGTAAGTAGGTTTTCTGTGGGCCGTGGTATCGTTCCGGTCAAGCCGGCCTATTCCTGCCGAAGCATGGTTCTCCCACATTTAAAAAGGTGTGGTAATAGTTCTTACTTATTAATTATGTTGTATTGTTGAATACGTTTTTCACGTAGGGTCTAACCAATAGCAATATGCTATTCTGCAATTTGGTAGGCATTGCATTTGCCAACACTTTCGTAAAGTTAAGGAATACGAAGCAGGTACCTACTTCCTTTCGTGGTTGGTTCGATGCCAATATGCCGATTATAAAATATGAAAGAAATATCCTCGGAAGTTGCCGTAAGCTGATTAATGGATTAACCATTGTAGTAGAAAACGACAACACATTAAACGCCGGGAAGGTGTCTTAAATACACAGAAATAGACGATCTGCAGGCCACCTGTTTAATGTTTTCATGTGCCTAGATAAGTTTATAGTCTAGGTACACCATCACGCTTATCTTGCTAATAATGGGTGGTACGATTTACCGATCAATACAGTATCGAGATAAGATAACAGAGAAAACATAATTAAAGCAGCAATTGATATGTTCATATATTTATTATAACTATAAATATGTCTGACATAATACACTATGTGTACTTATTTTATAAATAACTTATCACCACAGAGATTGGTTTATTTTCTAATATACAACAGAATCTTATCACTTGCTGATAGTGGAATAGTCTGCAAAGAGGTTTTGTGCACATGTTGGTACTCTTTACATAGAAAATTTAATATATATGAAGAACTAATGAGGTTTTGAATGTAATTATTAGCTCAGCACACTCAGCATACAAACAGAGTATATCCTAGCTAACATTTTAAGCAAATTGAGTTGTATGATGCACATAATATAATTCAATTTGCATCTACAGTGGCAGAATTTCTTAGAGTTCGGATTCAGTAGATCAGCTATCACTTACTCATTTTTTTTAAGACAAAATGGATTTTGTAATCTATATCTATAGAATGAATACCAACATATGCATCTAAGTACTTAACATTTAAATACTGACTGTAAAAACTGATTACAACAGCCTCCTATAAACACTGGGTCCTGCCCACCATAATGTAATTTAAAATAACATAGAAAAATAATTTGATTTACAGATAAATAATTTCTGAAACAATGACTAAAATATCTAAGAACATTGCAACAAATTAAAAACAAATAAAAACCGAGACTATGTCTTTGCATTTTCATCTAAGTCATTTTCAGTTCTTAAAAGGTATAAGCTTATGTTAATATTATACCTGCACCTCATCAGTTACCTTTTTATAAGATTGTACTTCACATAATTTACATTATATGTAACTAATAAATATTAATTATGTACTCAGATATTCTATGCTACAAAAGCTGATTACACAATATAGGATTTCTTACAACAGTTCTAGACCCATGTATAAAGAATAAAAAAATATTTGAAATTGTCTATTCATTTTCCGGTTTGTTTATAGTTTTGCAGGCAACAACTCATTGATTTTATATTCTTTTCTTAAAAAGTCTGGACAGTAAAGTTCTTTTGGCAAAAAGGAATTCAGGAACATGTGTGTGATTATTCCTGTGATGCCCCATACTGTGTGTTTGCCACCATTGTAAACCGGTATGGCATAATTATTGTATTTAAAGCAACCATGATTATTTGTGTCACAGAAAACTTTCATAGGAATTGTAAATATATCAGCTACTTCACCTTCATTTGGAGTCAACTTCTTCATATCAAAATTCATAATTTCGCCTACAACAGGTGTAATCAACATGTTTCCATCTCGACCTTGAACTTGGTTCATTTTGGTCCAAATATTTATGTCTTTGGCAGGCACACCTATTTCCTCTTCCGCTTCTCTTAATGCAGCATCGTATACGGTCTCGTCTTTGTCTATTTTCCCGCCTGGAAAGGACACTTGACCACTGTGTGAGCTTAGATTGCTGGATCTCAAAGTATACAAAAGACAGACCTCACTGTTATCCACACATACAGGTACTAAGACAGACGCAGTGTGCTTCGGGTTTCCACCTCGTACATTAAAGGACGGTAATTCACTTATGTTAGAAATACACCTTTCTCTTGCTGCACTAGATAACAGGATTTCTGGAGCTAGAGACATGCTTAATTTGATAACTTTGTGAACAGACTTCATTCAAATATATGTAAATTATCACTGAGGGTAAAGTCCAACAAACGTTAAAACCTTGATTGTTATTGCTTATATTCATGAAACAGTTACTTACTGTATTTTTATTTCATAGTAGGAGATAAATATACAAGGAGCAAAGGTTAGAACTGGCATTTTGACGGTAAAGTATTGTCAATTTATTTTGACGTACGATCAGCTGTTTGCGCGAAAAAATACCCATAGAGTATATTACTTGATTGCGTGTAAAGAAACGTAAAATGAAAGCACGAAGGAAGTCGTGTTTGTAAATATTTATAAATTTGATTAAGAACTGTTTGTATGTAGGCCGTTATATTTATTATTAGATTTTTATTATTAGATCAATATGAATAAAACAGCTAGAAAACTGTCAAAGTCGGTATCTTACTTTTGATTGGAGATATGTAACAAAACAAAACAAAAAATATACAGAAATTTTAGCATTAAAAATTAAATTACAGTATTTATTTATGATATGCTCCTTTGAAAATGGCGCGAATATCATTTGGTATACAAAATATATTTTCAATGGCTGCTCGAGAGCGTTGTATGACTAATTTCAAACGCTTAGCGACACCAAGGTACGGCAAAGTGCCAAGTGATGCTGCAGCTGTGTTAGTACCAGTATGTAATGTGGGAGAGAAACCGTCGATACTATATACAGTTCGGGCCACGAACCTTAGGACTAACAATGGGGAAGTATCATTTCCAGGTGGGCCAATACCCCAAAACGAATCTCCTATACAAACAGCCGTAAGGGAAACGTTTCAAGAAATCGGTTTACGGCCTGACAAAATAGATGTCTGGGGACACGGGCCGCCGCTTCCAGGCCGCAATAACAAAATAATGATTACTCCTGTAGTTGGGTCCATAGACACTCTGGCGCCAGAAGATTTAAACATTAATGTTGGCGAAGTTGCAGAGGTATTCACTGTCCCTATTGAACTATTGTGTGAACCCAAAAATCAGTATTACACACAATTCAGTAACGGATTCGTCTTACCGGTGTTTGTGGTCGAGGAATACAAGATATGGGGTATAACTGCGTTTATAACTCACGCATTCTTGAACTCCGTACTTACAAACGACGTTTATAAAAATGAATGGACGAAGAAGAAAATCGTGATAGACAACCAATAGGACTTGTCTATAGTATCTAAAGTTCTAGATTTTGGTCTGTTGTATTTATTTTGTTATTTATAGTATTTCTACATATGTTATTCGGAAATAAAGAAACTATATTTTTATAAATATTTATTGTGTAAAAGCTACATTTATCACATTGATATACACATAGCAAGTCGTCACGAGCGTTATACTAAAAGAAGCAAGGCACAGAAGCGTGATTATTTAGAATTTGGTAATATTTGAGCACTTTCGTAATATTAGTTTAGGTAATGTAAGAAATATAAAATAATTAGAAAAGGAACTCATAAGAAAGAAAAAAATGAAACAAAATGAAAAAAATATTATTATCCAGGTTTATTCCTTAACATTTACATTATAATCTAGTCATTATTATTTTATACATTGTCCAATCGACATGTTGGTCGTCTCTCGCCCTTGTCTCTTGTGTGTGTACTACGCTAATATGTATGGATTTCACCAAATGTGTAACAACTATTTTAGGGGGCCAATTGTTTTTCAAACTAAAACAAATCTCCCACAAAACTGAGAAGCCAAAAGTCTATTACATAAATAGGTGGTTCAACTTAAAGCCTCACTTCTAACATTCTATTGAAGGTTTATAAATATAATTAAAACAAACATGAAACAAAGGAACTGAAAATGTAAATAAAATAAGTACATTCTTATTACAAAACATACCTTCTCAAGGTAACATAGGCTAAGCAGGCAAGAGCGCTCACAAAATTATTTAATTGTAGTGAATCAGTTGTACATGTTCGAAACGACAGTTACAATAGGCAGAGGTATGAAAAAACAAAATGGTGACGAAACTGATCTCATTAAACCTAAAAAGACGACGTAGTCCAGAGTGAACAAAACAAAATAGGTAGAATACTGTGGAGCAACCTTAGCAACTATCGTGAATATAATACAACAACACATCCTGGGCATTTATTCGTTGTGTTTGAACACTGAAACTATACTAAAACTAAATTAAAAAACTTGTATAATATTATTTTTTCATATACAGAAAAAGGTACACTGCAATTTGTAAAGTTTGATGCAATATGGTTAAAAATCCACATTATAATTTGTTCATCTCCTCTGCCAAATACACTTACATCAATAGTAAAAAAATGCACATTTTATTATGTTTTAAGGCTCCAAGCTATTTTATCCGAATACTAATGGCCACAATAACTTCTAACAATTTTAAAATAACAAAAACTGATCTGCCGAAGATGTCACAAGTAAATGTAATGGTATTATTCCAAAATAATGTCCAAACATATAATAAATAAAATCCACAATAACCTATTATTTTCTCAACATGTATTCATAAAACTTAATTCCGATTGCACCAAACCATACATACAATCTCATAGATTTTTAATCTAATGAAATAGACCAATACTAAACAAAAAAACGAATTTAATACAAAAATATAATTTCCATAAATGAATTTGTTTGTTGGCATCATCCGTGACATTGATAACTTTCTATTAAAAAAAACTGTAGAAAAAAGTCAAGATGACGAATGTCACGAGGCGCTTGTCGCTGTATCGTAATGGCGTGGGTCAGAGTCGGCATCTATGTAGTGGGGTTCAGTATTACACCGAAAATTTAATTCTCGACACTCCGTCGCGCATCACTTATCCACCAACAGCTGGCTACACAACAAAAAACTGTTATAGTCTGTTCTTATTATCACATTTTATAGAAGAACACCATATTAAAAACCGTTTAAAAATGGAGGGAAATAAAAAATTGGGCGCCACCTTTGTTGTGTGGCCAGTTGTTGGTGCGCTGTTGAATTTTGGCAACATTATTTTGAATGCAACATCAATGCATAACATCTTGCGGTCAGGCGATGGTGGTATAATTTAGAAAAGTTTATCGCCTACTATTGTACCAAGGCATGTGCGCGGCCGAGGCGAGTTTACTCGGCGTTGCTGTTCTCGCTCACGTCGATAGGGATTGACGTCGTGAACGTCGGCGTCTCGAGTTCTTCGTGTTTCTTCATTTTCAGCGCCTGTAATGATACACACGGTTAGTATTTTATTCGAATGTTTTTCTCAGCTCTGGTATGGGTCAGTTATAGCTGGCAGCACTGCCAATTAGTTTGCACTAGATTAAAATATTAATAAAAAAAAATCTAACCTACAGAAGAATTTGGTACCCAATACTAATCCGAATAGTTTTTTATTCAAATGAGTTTGATTGCAGCAGCAGTTTCTTCTAAGCAAGCCTTTTTAGTTTCAATGTTCTTTTCGACTATACCTTGTACAAAACCTAATTGTTTAATTAGGAAAGATTCCATCTCCCGACTAGACAAGTTTAGCGTTTAGGGAGATTGGATCACGTTTCCATATTATATCTTTTTAATCTTTATATTTACAGTAAGTTATGGGATTAGATAAAACAACAAACAAATACCACAACCTTCCACACACCATCACAGCAAGAAACAAAATGCTACACTAACCACCGATTTCTGGAAGGCCAGTAGATATAATACCGGGTTTACACAATCACCTAACCTTGCTAGTAAGAACTTACCTCTATCTGATATCGTTGATAAAAAAATAGTTGTTGCAATTTCAAACTGCCAAGCTAAGCAGACTTCAAAGCGAGTCGTAACTAAATACGGAATTATGTTGAATTCCATGTTTTACTGCACTAAAAATATACCACTCTAAAAAATAATGCCTCCATTTTCTTTTGTGTAAACCCAGTATTAAATGTATACTTTTGCTATTGGTCAATTTCGCTGTCTTCGACCAATTCAAATGCCATACAGTAGAAATTAGCATCTGAGTATTAGGGGGTCTTGCTAACAAAAACCGGAGGTATTACCATAAAGTATGTAAGCTTGTTTTGAATTTAATGCGAACCTGATTTAATTAAAATATTTACAAAATCAGGTTCTTAGCACAATTTTCACTATTTTCAAGTATACCTAATGAATTTTGAGATGCTTAGGGTTGTAACAGACATTTTAAAGCAGAGAGGATTTTCAATATATATTTTTTCTTGTTAAATTATTATTTGGATTATTTGTTTTTTATTTTAAACTTTTTTATTGAGTCGCCTTTTGTGTGAATTCATTTAAAACTTTTTTTTCTAATCTGAATCCTAATATTCTGTTGTTTTGTACCGCTTCTGGTTGGCTTTAGATAAGAACATGCGAACTTCGTTACAAACCCTTGTTAAAAACTTTCATGCCAATTTGTTTATTTGTTGAGACATTCATGCCTTAAAACACTTGAAAGTAGGAAAACATAATGAATGCAGCCCGTAAACTAGGGTTTCATAGTTTAATAGCGATGAATTGTTATGTTTAAGAATCGATTGACGATTCAAATCGATAATGAGTAGTCGATTTTCATGGTTCCCAAGTACTGACGTGAACTTGAATATCGAGTAAAATTAGAGTAGCGTTTGCGATTTGTACATATGGCGTGCGTCTGACATAAAGATGGAAGTATGTTTTGTACCGAATGACTTAGGGATGTGACCAAACAATGCAATGTTATAGCACGTATGTCAGTGACGTCACGTTAGGACACCCGCGAACGTACCACATCCGTCGGTAACTCTTTCCGTTGCAGTGTGGGGGTCGGCGTCAGCACCAAACCTTTCGCCGATAACTGAAGGCGATAGTAACACGATAGAGGAAAGTATAGAAGAACCCAAATTACATAAATACTATGCTAACTGTGTCAATACACACTGTAGAAATACACATATATCTGTTTGTAAAGGCATGGCTACACACTTGCATGCGCAAAGTTTATTTAGATTGCGCAATTGCGCTACACCTTGCGCAAAACAATATAGTTATTTTGATCTTTACATATAAATCAATGCATGTAGCCATGCCTTTAAAGCCTGATATAAAAATTGATGTCCCATAAAGAAAGGGCAGAAAGATAGCTCAATAGTGTTTCAAAACAGCGTGGTCTACGTGAGACTTAGTGTTAGGTGGGGATGTGCTTACCTGCTGCAGTTTATAATGGTTGATGATATCCTGGTCGGCGGGGCAGCTCTGCGTGAACGCGTCCAACTGGTACATGTGGTACATGTAACGCCAGAGGGCGCGGAAACTCGTCTGGAATTATTAAACAACATTGATAAGATCGGATGGTTCATCCTTACTAATATTATAAATCGGAAAGTGAGTTTGTTTGTTTGTTCCGCTTTCACGCCGTCACTACAAAACCGATTGCTTTGAACTTTTGCAGACGTAAAGTTAGAAGTCCGGGTTAAATAATAGGGTACTTTTTATCCCGGAGAAATTAGATATTCCCGAGAGAAAACAAAAGTATTGGTATAGATGGCGCTGTATGTATTGGTATATGTCACATAGGCTACTTTTTATCCTTTTGTGACGCGAGAAAAGCCGCGGGTAGAAGCTAGTATTGAATAATGTAAAGTTTTAAGTAAGTTATTTACAAATATTAATTTTAAGTGCATTTTAAGTAAGTACTTATATCATGGGTTAAAATTAAAACAACAAGCTTTACATACCGGTATCTCGAAGTCGACGAAGTACTTGCCGGCGACGCGGATGTGCTGCAGTCTTGGCATTAGCTCGCAGTCGAAACAGCACATTGTGTCCCCTGTTAAGAATCTGCAAAGAAGGACAATAAATAAAATTAGATTACAATCTCGCAAGTGACGTAAAGTTTCACGGACACCCACTAGAAAAAGGACCCTATGTTTTTCTAAAATGGCGAGACTACCGAACTGCAAACTGTGTGTCGTATTGAAAGTCTTACCATCCTAGAGTAGGATAGTTGAAAAACATAATAAAACTTAAAACTGTGTATGTGTAATAGGGAACAAATTGAAATAGCATTTATATTCAATGTGATAAAGTGTATAATTACCTAGTCCCTCTGCGTTCAAGAAGACCATCGATGCGGCCGAGATGTGCGCGCAGGGCTGCCGACTTCTGCTCGTCTTTGCGTACCAGCACCAACTTCAGCTTGGAATACAGGTTCTCGATCAGTGAGGCTACTTCCTTATCCTGGAATATAAATATAGGTATTTGTTTATTTGAAACTTTACTACTTCATTAGTATTATTATTTTAGATGTCGTCAGGTCTCTGTGTCGTTTGATGGTTAATGTAATGTCGATAGTTTTAAAACACCCGAGCCTTCTGGGTGGTGGGTGGCTCTGGCAAGAAGTCCCACTTAGTGGAACGTAGGAAATAAAGATTTTGCAGGCTCCATTTCCATTAATTTAAGTCAAAGTCGGGTTCAGTAAAGGAAATTCGAATACCACTACCGAGACCCATGAAATGGATCTGAAACCTCATGTTCCACAATAACTAAATTAACAATAATAGGCACAATGGACAACTCATCCCTAAATAACGGGCAACTAATTGTTATCATCTGGTCTACATTGAAACAAAAGCACTATAGATACTATTGCCTACGCTCTACAAGACATCGTACGACCTATGAATAATTCATGGACCATAAAAAAAGATGCTTAGTGCCAAATTACTGAACACAATTCACCGGGAAACACCGTTTCTGAAGATTGACACCTAATTATCATGAGAAGCACATTTCGGGCGAGTTTTAGTAATAAGAAAAAACCGGCTGACCACATATTGTAGCCAATTTAACGGAGTTTAGGATGTTATTTGAGACTAAAGAGCTTTCGCATAAATTATGAGCTTGTTATAAACTTTTTACCAGGTGTGCCGTTTCGGTGGGTGGAGCTGAATAGACTGTATTTTATAAAATACTATTATTTAAAATCAATGGACCAGATTAGACAGATAACATTAAATTTCAATAGTTTGATAATTAATTAATTGAAGTAAAAATTGCATGCAGCCACTTTCTACTTCAGAGTTATTTAGCGCATAAACTATCGTCTTTATTAACTGCCAGAATTTCATATAAATTAGAAATACCACTCGATTTTATCGCTTGGAAAAGTTATATGATGTAGAAATATATTCCTGGTCACGGCGTCGGCCACGTACCTCTACTAAATCTTGTAAAGATGAATAAAAATACTACTAAAATGCTTTTTAAGAATATTAGCAAATAGTGTGTACATTATGGACCACATTGGGCTTCAAAATTGCCTCTTTTGTCTCAGATGTATCCTTAGCCCTTACATTACTTATCGCGTCTGTCTGACTGGTAGCGACTTAATAATTACTTAACGAATTTTGATTCGGTTGTCGCCAAGGGACAGATCATGATTGAAGCGTTTTATTCATTATACTTTAGTTATACCTCACCTGTACAAATAAGTTGTGTCCTCCGGGTACCGACTTCATGATGTGCCGTTCAATTTTCTCGTTCTCCAGTATCGCCAGACCGTTGTCGATGAGTATGGGCGGGTGCGTGGCTTCGAAGTTGGTGCGGAAATCTGGTGGAGGCTTCTGCATGTCTACTGTCGTCACCTGTAAGACGAGAAGTAATTTGTAATAAGCAAACACGGTAAAAGGTAAGATATTTTGGGAGCGGAAATTGATCAAATGACTCCTCCCGCTAGCAGTGAGGTGAGAGGGACTGTAACTCTCATTGAATAAAATCCATCTTGTTCGAACTTCTGTTTCATGTTGGGCACACGTTACCCATATGGTGACGTACCCGCGATCCCAGCAGGGCAACTTCCATTGGGCTCGCCTCGTCTGCTATTCTGTTGGCTAATACTACAGTTTCCAGGTCTAGGTTAGAACTTGGAAGCAATATCACTTCCATTTTCAACTGCTAGAATATTACCATTACTACCACGTGCGAACTAAATTCACGACAATCGAAATACTTATTTTTGAGCTGAAAATGTCATCCAATGATTTCTCCCGCCCGAGTGACGCGAGAGGGAGTGTCAGACTTACTGACTAAAAACCACCCCGTTCTCTTCGAATCGGAGCCCCGGCAACCCGTTAAGTCTTCCGCGGCTCCGTATCGGTATCAGCCCTATGGGGCCTAATAATCTGTGGTGGTCTGATGGCTCTTTGAGGCGCGCGGAACGCGACGCGCCATACGCTCGGGCCAATAGAAATACTACGATTACGATACATAATAATATGATTCAACTTTACGATAAGAATGTTGATTTTTCTCTTTGTTTCATTATAACACTCCTCTTTTATTATCTGAAGTTATAAAGTAGCCATAATATTATAAGATACAAGTCGTGAAGGCCGAGTAGAGCCGTCATTGGCCTACAGAGCTCTTTGCTGCCAACAGTGGAGATTATGTTAAACAAACCCCTCTTTTGTAGATCATAAATTATTACATAAACACATGAACATACCTTTAAGCTGATGGTCTTAAGCTCAGCTAACAGGTACAGGTCCATAAAGTACTCCTGGCAGAAGAGGCACGCGCCCTTCCGTCGCCCATCAATCGTCGATGCCTGTAATCAAACAGAAAACAGAATTAGTTAAAAAAAGATTACTTGGATGAAAGTTAGAACATAAAATTAAATACAATAGAATCTAGACGTAGTTTCCTGGGACTAAACGCTTTTTTTTTCCTCTCCCACCTTCCCCTAATCCTCGTTTCAATTTGTTTAACATCAGCGTAGAGTATTATTGTTCTTTACTATTTATTCCTTCTCTTCATTTCCGCATTACAATTTCTGCATTAACCTTTGCAAGAACCATAAAAAAATCTTTAATTTTCACATGGATACATAATCCGAAGGAGTCTAATATCTGAATCTAACAATTTTGATTTTAATACAGTCACCTGTGCTGAAAATTTCAATTTTCGTATATTTACATTAGTGAAACTCATTCACTACTATTCAGTGAGAGTGCATGACGAAACGTTACTCACTACATTCGATAGTTCAATAGAACAAGCTGGTGCGTTAATGTAAACATAACGACATAACAATTACCATAGCATGTGTTAACAAGAGATAATCTATTGTTAACTCAATGACATGACTTTCGCAATAGTTAAAAGGTGACCTAAACAATTCGGTCAAGAAAAAGTATTAAACGAAGCCTTCTTAGTGAATTGTCAATGCTAAACTGTTGTCAGTCTTATTTCATTTCACATCTTTGAGTATAACTAACTTCACACTCAACCAAACTGATCATAGATTTTGTATCTTTCTTGTGTAGTTGACCTATCTACATTTTGGTACCAAATACCCTTAGTACCTTACCGAAGAATGGTAAACAGAGATTTATCAAAAACAAATTAATTTTGAGAAGCATAGAAGGAAAAAAATAGTTTTTATAGGCACACGTTACAGGACAATCAGTCCTAAGCCGTGGTAACCAAACCATACAATTAAAGATAACTTTACAACAATACATTAAAACATGAATAAACAAGTGATGAAGTATGAAGTAATTCAAGTGTAGAAGAGCCTACGCTATTATACGAATGGGTCAGCTCGACCGGAGTGATACCACGGCCATAGAAAATAGACGTGAAACAACGTTTACGTTGTATTTCGTCGTGTGAGTGAGGTTACCGGAGGCCCAATAACCTCCTCCCCTCCCCAATCCTTGAATCTCCAACAATCCTCAAATTCCTAATCCCTAAAAGGCCGGCAACGCAACTGGTGTTCCGGGTGTCCATGGGCCACGCCGATTGCTTCATCCTTCACCCATCAGGGCATCGGTTCGCTCGTTTGCCAGCTTATTCCACAAAAAGAAACAGTTTTGGGTCAGCGGTTATTCAACAGTATTATTCTGTGTTATAAATAACATTATATCTTTACATAATGGGTAAGAATGTTACATTCTTAACGTTGGTATTTAGTACGGCCGAGTTTAGATGTTTTAATTAGACTTGCTAATTAGTAATGAGTAAGTTACGTTTGTTTGTTATGAAATATTAAATAAGAACATAAGAAGTAATAAAAATATTATGCAAGGTAGTGTGACTGTTTATAGTGTTGTTCTGCAGTTTTTCTAGCGTAGTACGTGGATAAGGGCCATCTTAAAACACCATATTTTGAGCAAACCTTTCGACGCAATGCCATCGAAAGAATTGTTCTCATGAACGTCATAATCTATGGCAGTCATTGTAAAGTGAGCAAACACGCGTGACTTCCCTTTTTAAGCCCCGCCGTCATAACATTTAACGAACTAGATCGTGACTGGAAAATATTACTGACTTATTGCAGAATATAAGAAATAGCAGAACGTTAAAAGAACGGGAGGCTTCGATCCAGTGCCAAAGGAAAAGAAAATGTAAAGTGCTGTAAGATTAGGTGTAGTTCTGCCTAATTTAAGTGTTTTATCGAAAGAATGTCGCCCCTATATCTTCATAAAACACTTTAATCTTTCTTTAAACATGACTAAATTGTTGACACGATTGCCTAAAACAGATTAGTCATTTAAAGTTGACACACATACGGACGAAACGTTTTAGTACTTTAACGACCTCGTTCCCTAGTTCAGCGTGGAACATGCCTGATATTTATAACCGTATATTACGAAAAGTTTATGATCCTAGGGAAGGCATAAGAAACTATTATGGTGGTTAGATGCTGTGACCACCACGTCAAAGTTAGAACAAACTTTATTAGACAAAAATAGACCATTTCATATCTCTTCGAATAGTCAAAGATGCAAAGCCGAAGAAATCTTGGTTTAAGGTTTAACTTAAAAGAACTTTGCAAGTAGCAAGCAAAATTTTGGATTTGATATAGGTAACCTCCGGCTGAAACCAAATACCCCTATTTTGGGAAACAGTTCTAGAAATTTCGATTAACAGATAGAAATATTCAGATAGGGTGCCTGAGTCTGACGATTCAATCATTCCATTTAGGTATTGTCACAAACATGGCGACGAGTTCTTGGTACACCATTTATCAGTTGTATCTAGTTGATTTCTTCACAAGTAACATTGTCAGTTTCTAATATTGATGCGAATTGTACAGCAAACTGTCACGCTCTTTACTTTTGTAGACACGAATTCCTGTTACATTGAGTTTTTGTTACCAGAACCTTTTATAGACATAAATTGGTATGTGACTGACATATTTTACCCACTTTATTGATACTCGGAATTAGAGAATGATGCAGGAGCTACTTGAGGAGAACAGTCCAAGGTAGCATGTTGAAAAACCTACAGATGCCAATAAGGAAGGTGAGTTAGGTGTCAGAGCCGTGCGAGTAATAACTTTCGGATATCTTAAAACTAAAAAGACGATGAGAGATTAAACGGTCTGTTGGAGTAATTCAAAGAAGTATGAAAGGATCATACCGGTTTTGTTGATCAATAGTATCTGCCTTTCCTCATCAGACAAAGGCACGGCTTAATGTATGTAAGTCTGTGGAATGACAAGGTTCCCGTTCCACCAGATCTAGGCAATGAGTTACCTCAACAAAACAGTACTATTTACGTAAACATATTCTCTACAACACACGTTTGAGATAGTATCCTTGCTGGTGAATATTCATGAGCAGTATTGTCTGCAAAACACCCACAGCGTGTCATATTGTCCATTTGTTTGTACAACTCTCGATTTTAACAAGGACTAGCTGTTAATACATATTTATAATTAATGGGGCAATGTTTCGTGTTGTCGCCGACGGCTTATTTTTTTCCCTATAAATTGACTCACTTGGGGATATTTATGATGTTGACTTTCTGTGTTTCCTTAATTGCTTTCTGTGGACATTTGGATTGACATTTTTGTATTTCCATTAAAAATGTAAACAAGTGTTATGTTTCGCCCCTTGAGGCTAGGGTAGGGACTTTTAGGGCAGATGTTCCATCCATGCATCTGATTCATCTGAAACTACTTTCTCTACTCGAAATTGAGATTTTTCCCAAAAAGGTTAGAATAAAGACAATTGCATTATTACTCATTCTGTTTTCTTTCTCTATAAGGAGCGTAGTGTCATTAAGGCGACTGTTCTCTTTGTTACCATCACAAATGTTATATTTCAACACTTGGTACGGCTCTGTATACTCCGCAGCATTATTCGAAAGCTCATTGTTGCAAGTTTCATGACTCATCGTGACGTTTTGAGGTCATAGGGCTTTACACGCCGAGTTTCGTTGTTCCTACCAGCTTTCTATGTATAACACTTCTGCATATAGGTTTTTAGCACAAACGATTGTACTTGTACTGGTGCGGTGCCTTTTTGAGAATTAACTTTAGACAGTCCAAATGACTTTATACCCTAGCTGTGGGATACGAAAAGCTATTTTTGCATTTCATAGTTATATTTTCGATGTGGGTTATGATATATAGAACACGACCATGCTTCCAAATGACGATGCCCAGAGGGGCAGAAAAAGCAAACACACGGGTAATAAAAACATTAATAGTGGTAACTATATCCCAACACAACACAGCATAGTAGAATTAATTTAAATAACTATTAACTGCGAACATGTTCAATTACGGTTTTAGTAGTAAATAAATGTTATGAATATATACAAAGAAATAACGTAAAACAATAGTATAACGTGATTACAGGACCGTATCAATAACAGGCATAGGGTACAAAATGCTGCAACAGCCAGTGACAAGATAATGCGAAGCGTTTACACTGCAAGCACCGTTAGCTGGTCGAGACGAATGACAATGAAGGCTGAGAGAGGATAGTAATACTTTTTACATGGAGAATAAGAATATATATTTTCATCTAATAAAACCAAAGATTGCGAAACAGATCTCTAATCTTCTAATGGAGAGGTTGGACTAACGGAATCGTGGAACAACATAGATCCACATAGATTTATCAACATTAAAATTCTTATTAGTTAGGTTCATTCCAATATATCCCATAGAAATTGTTATTGCCAGTCACCTTGCTATAATACCAGCAACGTTGCTAACAACGTGTCATGGATACAGTGATGGTGGTGTCATTAGCTGGTGGAATAGAAACTTGGAGGTGCGATGGTGCGTAACGTAACGTCACGGAGTCTGTGCACTCGCGCATACAGCCAGCCACACCATTGTACATGCACATGTTTTATTAAGTGCACATTGTCACATAATAAAACATAGTCTAGTTATCAAATATTGACAAAGAAAGCCTACAACAAGATTATTGTTAGATCAAGACAAAGACGTGTCCATCGGTTCCGTATTTTGCATACTATGGAGTTTTAAAGTAAAGTACACGCTTCTCCGTTCAAACAATAGTCCGCCTAGGTATAGTATGTGTACTGACGATACAAACAAGCAATTGCATTCTAAGAAAAAAGTGTAAGTATAATAATAGCATTAAATAGTCAGTTAATGTTCAACGGAGTGTATCCAACACACATATTTCAACAATAAAATATATAAAATAAGAGCAACTTTCCAGTGGCGATGTGTGAGATAATATGGCGGAAGACGGAACGCGCTCGACTGCAATCAAATGTATCGCTATTATGAATAAAACAACAATTTGATATAACGTTAGAACAATATTCAAATTACTTTTGGTAAGAAA